TCACTGCCTATCTTATTCAAATCCTACGAACGAAGGCTGTCACTTTTACTAGCGACAGACTTCAATTTCGTAAGAATATCGCCGAAACTAACATGGCAGTTATTCGATTACCATAGAATAAACGCATAAAAATGTGATTTGAGAATGCGGTTGGGACTGAAGTTTCAATTGAAATCCCTTTCGCTGAATTTCGATGTTAAGAATTGTGACAACAATATTCAGTTACTAGATTAGATTTGTCGGATAATGTGCCACATTCATGTTTATGCACAAAAACTCGAAGATGACGTTTGAATGCGAGTATGTGGAGATTGGAATCGATCACAAATATCTGCCCGCTTATCCATTCAACAGTGAATGAATTGAACGCATGTTTCTGCTCATCGCTTGTGATCGATCCACTTTACTTTTGAGATCTAAAACAACACAATGCGTTTGCTGTGGGAGCAAACAACAACTTCGTTTTATCTTTAAGAAAGTGACATCATCGATAAGATTTCGAATGAGCGCAATAGACATGAAGGAAGCATAAAAGATATTCAGCGACGATATAATGATGCTGATGCCTTATCGTCAGCATGACGTTTTGAAAGTGTTCAAAATCAATATGCTCCAGATGTGTGACTGTTGATAGAAGGAAAATTCAGATTTATCTAGTGTGACATCTTTAATCACAGTCAGCAACTGTATAAAAATTTACTGAGCAGTAGAAGTTTTGGGATTTCATATAGCTGGAATATATCGCTGGAGATAATGATGAAACAGAAAGCAGAAATATGGAATGTTAATGAAAGGAAAGCAGTAAATTTACAGTTTCCGTAATGGAAACGACGTGATACGAGAGGGTGAATTTAGAGGTGTTCCTCAAATAACAATCAGTGATAACGAAAAAGACGAGACAAGTGCCCAGGTTCGTTCTCATCACACCTCCTCTTATTTGCTAAGTTCTTCGTAACTGATGCTTGCAAACCTCTCATTTCAACGGAACTCATTCGAGCTCATAGTAAAATTTTGTGCAAAATAATCGGTTGTGAATATAATATGGTTAATGTGCAGTCTTTCCGATGCTAACATCTAATCACGCAGTAAGCTTGAGGCGTGCAATTGTTATCTTTATGCATGTCTCTATTACTATCACTAATGATATCATTGCTATTGCCCATCACAGCATTACTCTATTATGAGTGATACTATAACGTTTAAAGAATGTGCAAAAGCCACAATAAAATCATGGTGATAATGCTAAAACGGTCACAATTGCAACAGAAAATTCGGTTGTTTTGTTAATATGGTCCGTATGCTATATGTTTACGCTTTCAATTGCCCACAGTGTTTGTTCCGGACTCGGAAAATATCGTTTAGATGTCATTTCAACAAAAAAACATTCATCTGTGAGCTAGCTTATTAAACTCCATTTGCAGAGCAGCAAGATTTGATCAATAGGTTATATAAGTCACTCTTTGAAATTCTGCATAATATGTGCACATTGCAAAACAGTGCCTATAGTTTTCGTTGCTGTTAGTTTGGAGTGCGAAAGTGTTCGTGATTATAGTCAATAACACTCGGAAATAAATAGCTGCTGGCAATGAGCAAAAGAGAGACTAAAATAGAACTCTTGAGAGGGATTGAATGGTCTGAGGGGCTGACACGTTGAATGGTCCGAACGAGCCAGTGTGGAAGCCTAAATTTCTCTCTTGCATGCAAAATCTGTGATAGCAGCTTTTGATTGGACTTCAGCTGTTCTGGTTCTAAATATATCCCAAAAATCACCCTTCACTATTTGCGAAGCACTGCAGAGAAGGCTGAAACCGATTTATTGGTTTATAGATGAGACTATCTGTGCAACTAGGAAACTCTTTCAAGTTAATCCTCCACTCGCCGAATTCTCCCAGTCGAATTAGTGAAGAGTTTGAGACGAATGCAGCAAAATTTCTTCCGTTTCATCTCGCTTAATTATACTCTAATGATCTGAATAATCTCCCTTGTGGATAGCCAACTCACTAATCAAGTGGGAGCTGAACGCAAGTGTTATCTGCATATGGGCATTATAGCAAGATGTAGTAGGATGAAGACCGCCTTTATGAGCACGACTTCTGGCATAGATCAAAGAATTGTGCGTTCATATTCCCAGCAAGCTAATGTCTGAGCCGCATAGGTTTCGCCTGGGTGATTTATGCTCATGGCCAAAATATCTGATGAGGATGTCTAACGTCCGTTTTTTATGGTCTGGACTAAGGAACAAACGGGCAAAAACTGAGCGAAGAGAAGGGGATGGAGTGAGAAGGGAGAAGAATATGGCAAAAAAAACGAAAGTTCGGAAGAGAGAAGGGGAAGTATAAGAATGAAAAAATAATCACCGAAGAATCTACCGCGAAAGTTACTGTTTCTCGTGACTGGACCATTTTGTCCTCCTGGAAAAAATCCTGGCTACGCGACTAATATACACGCATAAACGAAACAGCAGTGTTTGAAAGAGCATTCAACCGAAAAGAACTAAAAAATAATAAAATGAAATTTCACAATGAAGCCAAAGCTAAGCACCGTGATCATTGTAATTTTCAGTTAACAGTATCAGACGATGAATTTGTGGTTGATGATGCCGGGAAACATATGGAAGGTGATAATAACAATTCGTTGCTTCATCACGGTTTTCGAAATCCTCTGATTGAACTTCCTGAATTCAGTTTGATTGCACATTTCATCACGAACTCATCCCACTGCAAAAATTTTTTTGCACCATTCGAATGTATTCAAATCATGTTTTTTCGATGACATTCATCGGTTTTATTGAAAAACTGTCGTGATTTTTAGTGTATTGATGCTTTAATTTGAAGTCGCTTTACGTCTCGTTTCTAAACTGCAAACAATTGCAGCTATTGAGCCTCCAGCTCTGCCGACTGTATCTGGTTCACCTGTTCTCTCAACATCACACTCCATCCCGAGGGTTCCCAGCAGTGGCAATAAGCACCCCTCTATGGACAGTTCGTTGTCCAGAAGGTTCGTTTTCTTCAATTGTGCGCTCTAAATAGATAGCATCGTCATCCTGGAGGATTATACTCACTATCAGAATTCCCTAATAGTCCTAAATGATCTCAAAAACACCAAGAAAATCCATGACTGTGCAGACAAAGTCAAATGCTTCATCGGTAGTTATGAGATGTTCATTGCTAGTTCAGAAAATTTGAAAATTCTACAGTTTTGAGAATTTCAAGCGGCTCCAAGATAACGGTAAGCGCCCAAAATTCAGGATGCGTGCCGAGATGATCGACACCAGGTCGTATCGTAGCGCCGGTAGTGAGAGGTCAGACGAACTGTCGTTGAGGTCCTTACGGCGTGCTGGCGGTACGTACAAACGTGAGAAGATGCCCGTTTCGGTGGGTATCATTACGGTGATGATGTTCATTGCCGGTGGAGCGATTTTGTTCGCAGTTTGGGAGGATTGGAATGTTTTTGATGGTGCTTACTATTCATTCATTACGCTCAGGTACGTGCCTTTTTACATTGCACTCAGCATTGGTTTTCCTACCAAGACGCAATCGTTAACATTCGATTGGGTCGTTTCAAAGATTCAAGTGAATCAGGGCTGTTGGAGTATCTTGAAGTCTCATGGATACATTTTGATCTCACAATCAGATAGATAGCTTTATGACCCACTTATAATATGCTAAATGCTTATTCATAACATATAATCGAAAATATCATACGCTATATGTATGAAATCATATGATCTGCTTGTCCACAAGCATATGGTTTCAAAATATGTGATTGTTTGCATATCGGGAATTTCTGTTTGCAGTACAATCGGTTTCGGTGATATAGTGCCCGGACAAAGTTTGGGTGATGGATCACAAGAGAAGCTGATCGTGTGCGCGTTATATTTGCTATTTGGAATGGCATTGATCGCGATGTGTTTCAAGTTGATGCAAGACGATGTTGTACAGAAAGCAAGATGGCTTGGACAAAAAATTGGAATTCTCGGTTTGTTGCGAATAGACATCGAATAGAGTTTGAAATTTTGCCGTTGCCGTTGAAAACTTTAAAATATTTGCCAAAAATTGTACGAAATCATTGTTGGATGTTTGCTTCATGCTGCTATACACTAAAGTTTTCGTGCTTACTTGCTTTAATTTATCTCATGGTCAGTTGCTGTACGCATATTGTGCTATGTATAGTCGAGCATGCCGTGTACGCTTATCTATTGTATTATAATTACGCATCGTTGTATCGCTGATTCATATGACGAATCCGAACGCAGTGTGTAACCTGCTGGAGAGAGCTTCAAATGAATTGAAATTCTGAAACATGAGTGAAAAACATTGCGAAAAATTCAATGAAGCATTGCTTATTGTTGGAAAGCATGTTATGCGTTGATTTGTGCTGATGAAACGGGGTGAGCAGAAATCTTGCCTGAAGTGTTTTCTGCAGACAATGATAAGGAATTCAGTTTATTCTTTTATTGGCGACACAATCCATGCTTCTGTATGACTTGCTTCTGAGCATGACAGGTGCACTTGTGAGCAGTTAGCTGTGTGTTGTTTGGTTTGCAGTAGAGCCAGAGCAATCAACGGATGGTAAGAGCGTTGTTTTCGATTCTAATATCAGTGCAATATCGAAGCTGATCGAACTTAGTGCCGTCAGCATGGTAGCGCTTCGTTCAGGTGTTACTTCGTATTCGAGCTTCTTTCGCTTTAGACGATGTGCTGCTTTCTTGTTTTGTTGTTAAAACATAAGGCTGTGTCTAGAAGG